TATAAAGTTGGGTCAGATCAGGCAGCCTGCTCTGATCATTAGACAGTGAAATACACTTTCCCTCTATTTTACTGACACACTTTATGTAAACACATACTGTGAGGAAAAAGATCTCAATCCAGTCCTATTTATGTAATTCCAGATTTAATGTCACAATTAAATAATCAAGAAATGTTTGAAAAAACAAGCATAAACTCTTGAATACAGATGTTGTGATCTGCTTTTTGAGCAAGATGGCAAATTAAAAACCTAGACACTTAGCTTTACGCCATCATTGCCAGTCATTAACATCTGGCAGAAGTGTTGCTCCCACCCCTTTTACAACATGACCTTCAACTGCAGCTTTTCTGGTGGAAAAAACTCATTTTCTGATGGACTCATGGTGTTGCTAGTCAATTATTAATTGGGCCTTTAGGGCCCACATTAAAATTTGGTAAGATCCTGTCAGGCATCAGGCTTAGGTGTGCTCATGCTTCATTGCTATACCACACCCACATCGTCTCAAAGTCAAATTCAAGTTCAAGAATCTTCAGTTTCCAAGTCCTTCACTGAGAAAAATGGATAATAAATCCATCTTCTTGAGCACTTAGTCTTGTATTTAGATTTAAAACACTTATCTTTATGTTCTTTTTTCTCAATAAGAAAAAATTCTGCCAATGAAGTAAGTTCAACTCATATCTACATTTGCTAATGGGACCAGCAAATTTCACTTGTCGAGCACATGGTGACTTAAGCTACTATTTTCTCCTTGTGAGAGAAAAAATAAGTCACTTCATCCTCATTATGAGATTAAAAGACTTGTTTAGAAAGACGCTGTTTGCATTGTTTCTATGCTGTTGGGTTTTGCTTCCCTCCTGAGATTCCAGCACTTCTGGACCAGCTGATACGATTTGTTTTGTATATCGCTCTGGAATAGGGCATTTGCTAAATGGCAGTCATATAAAGTCATTTAATTTCAGTAAAACATATTTGTTTTAATATTACCGTTTCTCATTTTGTGCCATGATCTGTGTATTGAGCCAAGCAAACGTAGATTAATTAAATAGCTCTGTCAAAGATGAAAAGGAATTCTTGAAATCCTAATTGGAATTTAAAGACTGAACACATTGTCCTCTGCTTTAATTGAGGTCTGTAGGAAATTGCAGTTCACGGTCTGCATTTCATTCTGCAGTGCTGTTAGCGAGGCACTGCAGAGATTTCCATCTTTAATTCGGCTCTCAGTTCTCTGGCTCCGCTGTGCCTAAGGCACTACAGCATATCAGTGTCTAAGTGCGTGATATTGAGAGGAAAGCTGATATTTATTGGTGAGGCTTTTTTTAATGTGTTATGGACAGACCAGTCTTTCCTTTTCCTCTATCTCTTTACAGCTCCCCTGGGCCTCTCAAAGCTCTACTCTGGAGTCACGATGGAATTGCCCTTTTTAAAATATCCACTCAGCATTGTCAAAAGGGTTTCAAATGGATGAAATGCATTATCGCCCAATGATGAGTCCAAGTAGTTGTATTAGTTAAAATAGATCCTGAAGTTCTTTATTGTTTTTTTTATATAGGAGAATCCAATGCGGCATGTACAATGCAACAGTTATTCCGCGCAGTTATTCTGTTTCCATTTCTTTCATGTCTCAATTTCCATCTTTAAAGGATCAGAGCACCAGTGCAAAATGCTATTCCTGGGGGGGCAGGTTGTGCTATGCTGGTTAATTTTCTAATCAAGTCCCTTATCCCTATGCCTCTCATAAACTGTGCTGCAGCAAAATATTTCTTCAGCTTAAAACAACATTTGAGCTATTTTTGGCGAGGCAATTAATCATGAGCAAGTTTGTGCAAAATATTAGTCACCACGAGACCCTCTAGATAGAGAGAATAACATCTTTGCATTACAAGTGGAGCAAGATTTGAGACCTTACAAGTGTTTTTGTTTCTTGATTTTCCTTTGTTATCAGCTGGATTGACCTGGCATACTCCAATTACTCTCTCATGATATTCCCCCTTTGGCCTCTATATCTGTTTCCAGATTGGAGCACCTGCCAGCTGAGTGAAAAGGCCATCTGTGGGAATGGTTTCAAGACACGCATGCTGGACTGTGTGCGCAGTGATGGCAAGTCTGTTGACCTCAAGTACTGTGAGGAGGTGTGCTCAAGCTTCTGTATTTACATCCGCATTTGAGTTTGTTTAATGTACTGTCATTAGTGAGTGTTTACTTTTGATTCACAGTTTTCTTCCAAGAGACTGGTCAGTGCTGTTCTGTGAATGACCCTCGTCCATTGTTAATGATGTCTGGTCAGTATGAATAATGGAATAATGCATTAGTGAATGAATAATTGTGACTCAGCAAGAATGCTCCTTTTGACTAAAGAAAAAGACCAGCCAGTCACACAAAAAAGGGTGGGGTGTGTTTCTCACGGAATCAATGTAGAATGTTCAATGGAGTTGCTCTACTGTAGCTGGGTGAATTCCTGTCAGGCTCTCTGCACTGTCAGTTCAGACAAGGGCTAATTGCCCCCCTCGGGCTCCGAAAGTAATTCGACTTGACTGCGGTTTAACCCACGACCCCATTTTTGCAAGTAGCAACCGCTCATCCGGAAGAACAAAGTGCTTGTCAGAGCCTGACTGGAGGCTTGCAGACCATTTACTGTGAGATTGGAGGATTCATGAAAACAACTCAAAACCAGAGTCACATTCCCGAGAAAAGGGCTGGGAAACACCGGTGTCATTGCTGATGAGGAGGTAAATGTGCATCATGCGATGTGCTTCCTTTCTTACAGCTGGGACTGGAAAAGAAGTGGCAGATGAACATTTCCTGCATGGTGGAGTGCCCTGTCAACTGCCTGCTGTCTGACTGGTCACCCTGGTCCCATTGCTCACACACCTGTGGCCTCATAGGTAAGGTCTGTATGTGGTTTACAGCACAGTCAAGGGCAATTGAAATGTCATCAATAAAACATTGCAAAATCAATAGCAAAAAAAACTTTATTTGGCATCTAGGTATATTGGTAAGTAACTAAAGCTTTCGAATAAACGGTTAGTGTAGTTTAGTAGTGGACAAGCAGTGTTTTATTTATAAAATCGAGCCAAAAAATAGAAGATAGATGACCTCAGCACGAGTGCAACCTATACTATTGTAAAGTAAAAACTAAGTAATGTTACGAGCACCAGTGAAGAAACTAGGTGCAGATCCGCAAAAAGCCGCTAGGTCTGTGTTTAATAACGAATGCTGCAGCAAATGGCACGAATGGAAGGTAGAAACTTAAACAGCTTGAAGCAGAAGAATTTTCTGGAATAGTCCGGTACAGGCGAAGGACGAACAGGATCAATTGGAACAAGAAAGCCATGGTCAGAGATAGGTTTGAGGTCAGTACCAGGAAGGCAATCCAGCAGCACAGGGCTTGATGGATGATGCCCACTCTTGAACCCCGGGCTTGGAGGTGATCAGCCATCTCACCATACTGTGCAGGACTTACAGGGAGATAACACAAATGAAAAGGTTACTAGTATTCTATAAAATCTGGAGATGGTAGTAAAGAAGTTTAAAGCAGGAGTGGTTCGGACACAGCGATGAGAAACAATCCAGCGAGGGAGGAACGCAGACCAGGAACTTAAAAGGAGCAACTACAATAAACTATAAGAAACAGGTAGAAGGGGGACCACAAAAGGAAATGCGATGCAGGGGACAATAATGAAATAATGAGAACTAATTAGGGAAAACAGTAGGCAGAATCTAACAAGGACGGCTAGATCGTGGGAGAAACAATAAAGACAGACTTAGGATCTAACAACAATTTACCAAATATGAAAATGTATGTGGGCTGATCCTTCATTCTTCATGTAAAATTAACCATTGAAAACATTAAAAATGGCTCTATGTGCACACCAAATGTGAAATGTGGAACTTGGCCGCTACAAGAGTCTCAGCGCATGTCAGACGTTGAAAAATGGACAAAAGCCCCTGAGCTGGGGTGGTTGTTGGTATTGTGCAGGCTGCTTGAATACAAGTGATTATATAAGAACTTGTTAGCCAGTCATGAGGAATTAGGCACACAAGTGGAGACATTTGAATACCAACTGAAGTCTTAAAGGGAAAGAGAGGCGAAAGATGTGCATAGGAACCTTCATATTTTGTCATGTTATTAACCCCTTTGCACAGAAGCCAAATATATTTTACCCTATTTAAGGCTTCATAATTCAAGATTTGAGCTTCACAGAGAGGAGGACAATGGTTTAAATGAAGCAAAGCACTTGTAAAATTTAGAATTCCATCGCATTTTTGTTTATTTTCTTAATTTTTGTTTGGAGTATGAGCCACAAACACAAAAAATCTTCATGAAAATTCAGTAATGAAATTATTTTTAAAATACTGGGAACTGAAAAATGGCTGGGAGTTATAACAATACATTTCTCAGATCATATACTCCTTGACCACTAGTGTACTTCATCTGACATGAATTTTTTAAAAATTATGTACCATTTATGAGCCAAATAAGATCGCTCTCCAGGTGGCTACCCAAGCTGTCAGAGCCCTCAATTTTCACACTGTAAAATCATAAAATAATCATGTTTAACACAAATCAACTTTTGACTCATGGAGTTCAATATGAATTAATGATTTTCCAGCAAAATTGGGCATGAGTTTATCAATATAGGTGGGGATGGACATCAATAGTCACCAGTAACCTCTCCAAACCAAAAACATGCCTGTTCTCTATGATAAAGTTAAGACTTTTGTTCATTTTTCCATAAAGCTGCATCAGCGAGCACTAAAGGAACTGCATATTTTACGGTCAGAATATTCACTGTTTGACAGAAAGCTTGCTATTTACAATTCCGATCATCCAAGCAAAACTCAAGCTTGTATCAATGGTTTTTACACCCTATAAGGAGCAAGTATAACTCAGTAACACAGTTATATCTGAAATATATCTCATTTTTACAAAATAGACATTCCACTATCAGGGAAAAGCAGGCAATAATGCTATTCTAGATAGCACAGAATTGGTGCAATGAGCTGCCGGATAGCTCACTTGGTTAAAGCATTGCATTGCGAAGCAGAAGTGACTATCACAGCCCGGGTTCGATCCCCGGTCGTACCAACCGGCAGTGGTCGGCAGCTTTTTCAGAGTAGCGCGCAATTGGCCATTGCCCTACAGGGATGCAAATTGGGAAAGGTCTGCCGGGAAGGGTAATTAAGTTTGTTCCTTAGGCACCTCCTGTTGGCCAGACGGGCGCTGGTAAGGAAGATTCTAAGCTTGTTCTTGTTTGGGTATCCTCTCTTCGGGAATCTTTGTTCTGAACTTGCGAAGATTCAACCAGTGAGTGTATAAGAAGCAGTGGCTGACAGGCGTGTGCTTCGGAGGAGAGCCGCGAGCTGTTTTCACTCTCCCGAGTTGGCAACAGGGGTTCGCATATGCAAAAGTCTTCTACATAGTTCCCCAATTGGACATTCCAGATTCGGGTGGGATTGGAGATCCCAAAATAAAAAAAAAAAGAATCGGTGCAATGAACATAGCAGGGGATTTACTGAAGTCCTGGAGCTGTTCTCATTTTAAAGAAAGGAAAACCAAGGCATCTAATTTTGTTGAATGTGGTATAAATTCTAAAACATCACCACATTGAGTAAAATGCCGCCATATATGAAGATACTGAAAAAATTTTTCATGCTTTTATCTCGTCAAGATTAGACTATTGCAACTCATTATTTACTTGTCTGAGTAAGAAATCTTTGAACAAATTGCAAGTAGTTCAAAATTCAGCTGCAAGATTGCTCACTAAAATAAAAGAGCCCACATTACTCCAATTTTGGCATCTTTGCAGTGGCTGCCAGTCCAATTCCAAATTGATTTAAGAAATTTTGTTCATTACCTTCAAAGCACGCCATGGCATGGCACCAAAATATATAAGTGAGCTTTCAAATCCTTACAGACCTAAAAGACTGCTGAGATCTTCTAAGCAAGCATTATTGGCTGTTCCAGAGTCCAAGTTAAAAACGTAGGGTGAACGAGCCTTTTCGGTTAAGGCTCCAAGACTCTGGAACAGCCTCCCAAACAATATTAGACATGCTGAGTCTTTATCGTCTTTTAAATCTCTTTTAAAGACTCATTTTTTTAGGCTTGCCTTTGCTGATTTTACGGTTTAAATTCTTTTATTGTATGGGTGTGTTTTCATGTAAGTCTCCTTTTATAATCTTAATTTTTCCTATTTTGGTGTTTAATTCCCTACTTCACCCATTTTGTTTTATTGCTTTTATGTAATTGTATTTTTACCTGTTTGTGAAGCACTTTGTGCTGTATTGCTTGAAAGGTGCTATATAAATAAATTTATTATTTATTATTATATTATACAGTATTATTAGGAAGGCTAACAGTTACTCATACTAAACAATGTGGCAAACAAGCTCTGTGATCATCATGGCTATGGTAAACCGGAAATAAAAAACAGCTAGCTAGCTAGCCATAAGCATTCCATGTTACTCCATTGCACTCACTCAAAATGAAGCAAAACTCTCCATCATCCAAGTCCTCCTCCAGATAAACAGAGAAACAGAGCTTTGCGGTACAAGGAATCCTCCAGCACTGTTTGATTCAGATCAACTCACATTATTCGTGTTGGTACCAAATTGCCATTACGTAAATGTAACCTAGGGACCTCTAGGTTGGTTTTGGAAGTCTTTCTTTTTATCGCACTCATGTCATTCAGCTGCGCACAGTTGAGAGAGTACAACCTAAATTACTGTTACGTAAGGGTTTAGATACTTTTCTGAGGGTCCAATCAAAGTCTTTCCATTTCTGTGAGAAGCTTATAAAGTCTGAAATTGGATAAAAACGCGTCAATCAATAGATAATTACCAGGTTATAGTTCAGGTGGGCGTGAACTATAATTGTGCCTTACGCAGATAAGCCTGAGCAAGCATTCGGGAGACTGGATATCAATAAGGCATTGTATGAGGTAGTAAGGAACCACTGAATTCATTGATGGATCAATCTACGCATAATTCAATGGTAGGGAATCACACGTTTTTAATATCTCATAACAATAATTGGTTGTAGAATGATATTGTATCAATACCATGTCAAATTTTTGCTTCAAAAAACTGATTTTTTTCTCACTACTTAATTGCAATACCTTTGGCCTGTTATAGCTGATCTGGTTGCAACAAAGGACAACAATTTTTTTCTGTCACACAAGGGAGCATTTTTATTAACTGCTGGATAGATGCTATGGGCAAGTATATTAGGCAGTTTGCACAACAGGCTTGGCTAAGGAGTTTAATTTATACAATTCCTGGGAACCATATTCTAAATCAGTAACAGGCACAGCTCTGTCCTGAATATTTAATAACCGGTTCGAATGTGCCACCAATTGATAGAATAGTGTAATTGCGTGCATAAATAGAGCAACTCCATGTCTGCGGGTGTCTACATCTGCGCACAGGGGTTAATGACTCACTAATTAAGTAAATCAAAATGTAGTCGCTGTGATACTTACAGTACATATTTTGTTCAATAACCACTGCAGCTAGAATTATTGTTGTGAACTTTCTACTATATTGGGATGTCACCGCAGATCAATTATTATTTCTGCTGCCTAATCATCAGATGAGCTCAGTTTATTCCCAATAATTAATATATGAAATCGAATTTGGTTGAAGAGTTTTATTGCAATGTACATAAATATTGTCTGGGAAAATGTAAAAAAAAAAAGGGAGGTTTTATTTACTGAAGATTCTAATTAAGCACAGGAAGTTGCATATAGCCTAGAAATGAGCTTAGGGGTACTTCTTAAGGACCAGAAAATTTATTAAGGTGAATTATGGTCATATGCATCTGGCCTCAGGCCATCTCTACTGTAAGAGGCTTTGAAGTAGCAGCCAGCATCAGTAGCAGTCAGCATCACGGGAAGCTAAAATGAGTAATATACTTCAGACATGAGCGAAATGCTGGCCTAAGCTGCTGTGGTATCCTTAATCTCTCCCCAGGCTAGAGGGTAACTTCCCAAGTATAGAGTAGTTGGTACCACAGGCCCCTTGTAAGAGAGAGCTCTGTTAGCCAGAGGAAAGATTTTTGTTTTTTTTTAAACTCATACGTACGTGTTTGCTTGAAGATAAACCATTCCTGAGGCAAAATTGCTTGAAATGCCTGTGAAAACGCGCAGAATGGAAAATGTACAGAACCCACTGGACGCAGATGGGGAAGGCGATTATCAATCAGGCCTTTTAAAATAGATGCACCCTTGATGTATCAAACCCGCAAGCATAAATGATTAAAATGCATTAATTAAAACTTGTTTTTTGAGCCAGGCTTGTTGACTGACAGCACACACCATCTTCTCCTGCATGCCTGCAGCTTGCCAGGACTCCTTTGCTACCTATTGAGAAAGATATAGTCATGAAGAAAGAAAGACACAGAGAATTCACTGGCTGTATGAAAACTCTCCGAGTTGAGTCACACTTGATTGTTTGAAGCCCAGGAAGCAAGCGCAGAGGATGGAGCTCTGTAGGCTAATTAAGGTCGGCATTGCCTGAGGGACTGGGGGACCTTTTGAAAAGCAGTTATACAGGGAGCACTTTGCCCCTGCATCTTGTGATGAATTGGCAGCTGGTAGCGCTTCTGTCACAGTTAGAAGCACAGCTCCACTGGTGACAAAAGAATATCACTTTATGACATATCAAACAAAGAAAACCTATTAAAACATTATTGTGAATACAGCTGGATCCAGCTTTCTTACTGCAGACTCGTTACGCGACATTGCTGGGAAATTGTGTTTTGGGTGAGCGTAAATAAATGTGGGTGCACAAATTTTTCCCAGAAGGTATTGGCTAATGCTTTCCTAATACTTATTATGAAATCTTTAAATTAATGGTAATTTTTGACCTCTTGTCAATTGTTGTGTTTAATGAGCAAGTGTTCCAATTATTAAATACTAAATTTAAATTGGGAAAAACATAAGAACGCTTTTAAAAAAAGATAAGATAGTCTGTGAATTTCTGCATTTTTGTTTGCATTTAGCTCATCCTGAAATACAGGCTGTCTAACCTGAAATTCATGGTTGATTTAATTACAACACAGAAAAAGGTTAGCAACATGTATACATGATTTTTGTGTCAAATGTGAACTGTTCTTTTTCTGGATGTGCTTTGATGAGGAGAACTGGCATCAGCATAGGTTTGGCTTCAGCAATGGAAAGGGATATCTCTCAAACATAGACATTTGTCGCCTTACCAATTACATGTGTGCACAGCCGCGCTGACACACACACACACACACACACACACTACGCATATGCCTGCACCTTAGTGGTGAACTAGGACCTCTTCCTCTTTCTCTGAACTACAGTTACTTGGTTGCAATGTATCTCACAGTTTTTAAAATCATCCTTATACAGACCATATATACAGTGGTGTGCAGTGATTATTATCCAACTTACAAAATGTAAGGTATACCCTTAACAAAATGCTAGGTTAACCAACGGTACCAACTACAAACCTGAAAATGAGAAGTTGGACTGGATGGCAAAGTATGGGCTAATTTTATTTCTAAAGCATGGAATATTAGGCAAACTAGACAATAATATATGAATACAATATAAGATCAGTTTATTTGATGCTTGTCGAGTATTAAGGCAGACACAATACACTATTCATGTTTTCCTATCATCTGTATATTTGGTCTCACACCTATGTAAAGTTAACCCTTTGTTGCACGTTGTCCAATATTTTGGACATAAGTTAAGTGGGCTTTATTTTCTCTAGGCTGATAGATACCCTGAAAACACAAAATGTACATTTTACTGGACATTTCCAGATAATAATTTCCTCAATAGGTGCCTCTCTTATTAGTCACATGATTTACCACAAACAATCACAATGGCTGCATCCTCAAGTAAGAGGTAAGCTGACGAAAGTCAGAAATAGTCTTATACTGTTCAAGTTTTGATCAAAACTTTTTTCTGTTGGGGGATGGAAATACATCATATAGCACAAACTGAAAACAGATAACCTATGTAATGCATGTCTATTTGTTGGAACACATCTGAGTCTATGCTCTATAAAAAATATTGTACATTATGCATGCCGAGTAAATAGTTCAAATAAGCA